TGGAGTGTAGTGACGCGATCTTGGCTCAATGCAGCCTCCGCCTCCTGGGATTTAAGTGATTCTCCTGCCTCAGCCCCCTGAGTAGCTGGAACTATGGGCATGTGCCACCACACCCAGCTAACTTTTGTATTTTTAATAGAGATGGAGTTTTGCCATGTTGGCCAGTCTGAAATCAGGAGTTTTCCTGATTTCAGGTGATGCACCTGCCTTGGCCTCCCAAAGTGCTGGGATTACAGGTGTGAGCCACCACACCTGGCCTGAAAATAATTTTCCTTAGTCTCTGTAGTCCTTTTGCTTCTAGAGTTTCTAAGGAGAAATCCAAAACCATTCAGATTCCACTCTGTCTCTAGAGGCTTGTAGAGTTTTCTCTGTTCCAAATGTTCTGAAAATTCACAGTGATGTATCTTGGTGTAAGTCTTTTAATCTATTGTGTCAGACACTCAATGGGGCTTTCAATCTGACAATTTGTTATTCGTCCTGATAAGTTTTCTTTAATTATTTCATTGCTGATATCTGCTTCTCATTTTCCCTTTTTCTGGATCTCCTATTGTTTGGGTTTTGGATCCACCAGATAGATAATCTTATTTTATCCCCTTTTCTCTTTTTTTTTTTTTTTTTTTTTTTTTTTTGAGGTGGAGTCTCGCTCTGTCACCCAGGCCGGAGTGCAGTGACCGGATCTCGGCTCACTGCAAGCTCCGCCTCCTGGGTTCACGCCATTCTCCTGCCTCAGCCTCCTGAGTAGCTGGGACTACAGGCGCCTGCCACCACGCCTGGCTATTTTTTTTTTTTTTATATTTTTTTAGTAGAGACGGGGTTTCACCGTGTTAGCCACGATGGTCTCGATTTCCTGACCTCGTGATCCGCCCCTCTCGGCCTCCCAAAGTGCTGGGATTACAGGCTTGAGCCACCGCGCCTGGCCCCTTTTCTCTTTAATTTTCTCTCTCTTTGTCTTTTTTCTCTACTTTTGGGGTACTCCTAAAAATTTATTTTTCTAATTTTTTATGGATTTCTTCATTTTTACTAACATTTAAAAAATTTCTAAGAGCTATTTTCTATTCTCTGAACGTTCCTTTTAATAGAAGAGGATCTTCTTGTTTCATGAATGTAACGCCTTATCTCTCAGAGAATATTAATGATAGTTTCCGCCCCCCAGTTTTCCCCTTGCATAATCTCTAATTCTCTAAGTGGGGCTTTTTCTGTTTGCTTTGGTATCTATCTTGCCTTGCTGCTGTCTGTTTATGCTTAAGTGTGGAGTACTAAAGAGGTGATTGGAAGATCTGACCATGTGGGTGAGGCATAGAATGCTATAGGAGTCATTTTCAGTGGGCTGTTGGGGAGAGAATCCCCCAGTTAAGTAACATTAAGTCCTTCCTCTTGAGCTGCTCAAACTCCATAGAGAGGGATATTATTCTGTAAGGTAAGGATCTGGCCATAGGGCTTTTGATAGCCAACGGGTAGAGGCAGAAAGGATGTGGTGGTCTCTGCATTCAGCATTCAGTATGCACATTGTCTCTCTTTAAAAAAAAAACCCTGTTTATTTTAAAGTAACTTCAAATTTAGATAAAAGTTGCAAGAAAAGTCCTGAGAATGCCCATATATTCTTTATCCCAGATTTACCAATTTTTAGCATTTTGCTACATTTAATATTTTGCCCCCAACACACACACACAAATTAATATTTATTTTTTCTGAACCATTTGGGAGTAGAGATTGCTACATAATGTCCATTAACCTCTTCATACTTCAATGTATATTTCCTGAGAACAAATATATTCTCACAAACTGTTTCTTAATCTTCTGGCTTTTGAATATGTTACCTATACCCTCAAATGTGGGTGGCATCCGCCAATCCAGAGACTTTCTGTTTTATCTTCTCTAGAGGATAAACCTAATTTATTGATCATATGTTGATGAGAAACTGTTGCCCAGTGGTGTACAACTGGGGAGGAAGATCTAGATATTTCACTTTCACATACAGCTTTACCCAGTCCTCCTTATTTTAAACATTCCCTTAATCCCAAATTCCAGAGGTACCTAGTGCTGACAATTTTCCTTTTTTTCAAGATTCTTCAGTGTAATTTTAACTACTTGTGAGCTTCCTTTACTACAGTCTTGAGAATCCAGCTCCCTGAAGTCTTCAAAGTCGGAACCACATGAACATCTGCTTTCTAGTTGTCAAAGTTTTTGCCTCCATTCCTATTCTCTTCACTATTGTTACATCTTTTTAAAAAGTATTGTTTTGGCCAGGAATGCTGACTCATGCCTGTCATCCCAGCATTCTGAGAGGCCGAGGTGGGAGGATCACTTGAAGCCAAGAGTTTAAGACCAGCCTGGGCAACATAATGAGACCCCATTTCTACAAAAAAATTAAAAATAAATAGCCAGGTATGGTGATGCACACCTGTAGTCCCACTACTTGGCAGACTGAGGGAGGAGGATCACTCGAGCCCAGGAGTTCAAGGCTGCAGTGAGTTATGATTGCGCCGCAGTACCCTAGCCTCAGCAACAAAGTGAGACCTTGTCTCAAAAAACAACAGAAAAAAGCATATTCTTATTCTTGTTTTAGTAAAAGTTCAGAAGGGAACAAAATGGGATGCATGTGCTTAATCTACTGTATTAATCCCTTGTCTTGGTCTAACTGTATTTCTACCACTTTACCAAGTTCTTAGCAACTACCCACTCTCCCAGTCACGTAGGATAGAGGCTGAGCCTCTCTATGAGAAACAGAAGGGTTCGGAAAGAGGGCTTCTTCTGTCCTTTGGCATGTTAGAAAAGGAGTCAGGCCAAGACGGTGATCCTGGCAGAAGGCGTTAATTACTATATTTTCTTTTTTTCTTTTTTTTTTTTTTTTGAGATGGACTCTTGCTCTGTCACCCAGGCTGGAGTACAGTGACAAGATCTCAGCTCACTGCATCCTCCACCTCCCAGGTTCAAGTGATTCTCCTACCTCAGCCTCCCGAGTAGCTGGGATTACAGGCGCGTGCCACCACGCCCAGCTAATTTTTGTATTTTTAGTAGAGACGGGGTTTCACCATGTTGCCAGGATGGTCTTGATCTCTTGACCTCATGATCCGCCCACCTTGGCTTCCCGAAGTGCTGGGATTACAGGCGTGAGCCACCACGCCTGGCCAATTACTGTGTTTTCTTGATACTATGATGCACTTTGGGAGGATTTGTAAATTCATTGTGGTGGTCTTTTTTTCATTTTCTTCTTTTTTCTTTCTTTCCCCCCTCTCTCCCTCCTTTCCTTCTTTTTTTCTCAGAAAGCTGAACGTGTTAAATAAATGATGTATCTTAAAATTGTTAGATTCTTTAAATCTGATTTCCAATATCAGTAACTTCCCTCAAAGAATGTTATGTCACAACAAAATGACGGGGTGAATCCTATTCCCTACTTTAAAGAGAGAGAGAAAAATAAAAGAATGTTTAAGTATATAGCCAATGGTCCACAAGGCTAGCAACTGATCCATGATTAAAATAGCTCAAGGTCATAAAAGTAGTCAGGTATAAAAGCCCAGAAAAACATGATTATCAGCCATACACATTGACAAATCATCCTCATCCATGACTCTAGAAAGTTTATTATTATTATTATCATTATTATTATTATTTGAGACAGAGTCTTGGTCTGTCACCCAGGCTGGAGTACAGTGGCTCCATCTCGGCTCACTGCAACCTCCGCCTCCCGGGTTCAAGCAATTCTGCTGCCTCAGCCTCCTGAGTAGCTGGGATTACAGGCGCCTACCACCATGCCCAGCTAATTTTTGTATTTTTAGTAGAGACGGGGTTTCACCATCTTGGCCAGGCTGGTCTCGAACTCCTGACCTCATGATCCAGCTGCCTTGGCCTCCCAAAGTACTGGGATTACAGGCGTGAGCCACTGCACCCGGCCTAGAAAATTTTTTGAAAGGCAGACCCAAGCATGCACTTTTAAATTTAATGTAATTTAACTTGCAGGAAAAATCCTAGAAATGCAGAGAATTTAACAAACATCTATTGAACCTCCATCCAGAATTAATATTTATTTTTTAAATTCAATAGGCAGATTTTAACAAGATATCCTTAATAGGGAAAATTCATCAAAAACATAACATTGAGTGAAATAAGTAAGTCGCAGGAAAAAAAAAAAAAACCATTACAACAAGATCCATTTATACAAAGTTCAAAACAGGCAGAGTTGAACAGTGTATTGTTTAGGGAAATACATGTTGGGGATCAAGACCAGGAAGAGAAGCAAAGGAATGGTTATCACAAAAGTCAGGAGCGGAGGGGGAAGGAAGGGATGATTTGGGGCAGAGAGAGGGGGATACTACTCTATTTTGTAGCCTGATGGATGGAACATGGGTGTTTATATTATTGTTATCCCCAAAAATGAACATATATATTTTTAAATACTCATGTGTTTGTTACATTTTATAGTTTAAAAAAAATCACTTGAATAAATCTAAAATCCTACACCATAGTCCAAAAAAAGCCAAACCAGAATAGCCTTATCCACCAGATATGGGGTCGTAAAGAGGTGAATCAGGTGATGGAGGCTCTATTTGGAGAAGATTTTCTCTGTGCGGTCTGATTTTCTCTGTGCAGTCAGCTAGGGTCAAGGCCAGAAACCATGCAGAGCCCACGGAACTGCCCTTTTCTTGGAAGTAAGGCAAACAAGGAGAGTTGGGGGAACTTAGCCCATACAATGTGAGAAACCCTCTTTGATCTTCAGGTACCTGCATCTTTCACTGTGCCACATGAGATCATAACGACAGAAGTCATACCTATTGGGCCAGGTGTGGTGGCTCAGGCCTGTAATCCCAGCTACTCTGGAGGCTGAGGCAGGAGAATCGCTTAAACCCGGGAGGGTTTCGGTCAGCCCAGATGGAGCCACTGCACTCCAGCCTGGGTGACAGAGTAAGACTCCATCTCAAAAGGAAAAAAAAAAAAAAAAAGACTTAATACCTATTAACCCCTTGTCATATTTGTTGTAAACATTTTTTGTGTGTGTTTGTTTATTTCAAGGCACATTTAATTTAATATCAAGAGTGCAATACAAAAGGGCCAAATACAATGAAGGAACACATTCCCCCATTAACACCAACGACAATGCTCTTTTAAACATGTGCCTGTTGAATGGAATGGGGATTTCATAAAATTCACTAAAAAAATAATGCAGTGAGTCTCATCACAGCTAATATCCTTATACAATCTAGTTGTGACATGAATGTTTATAATGCTTCAAACAGTTTCAACCTGAAGTTTCATACCACACCTTCATGTTTGTACAGTCCTCAGTAAGATAATCTACAGTTTTTGCAACCATTCAAAGAACAAACCATTGAATAAAATCACATTGATTAAGGCTCAAGCAAGTAATATAGAGCCCCAAACTAAATGGTTAAATATATGCGCTCCTTATACTGACATCTATTATTTGATTCTCTCGTGACTATTAAAAGTTGGTTCTCAGCAAATAAACCCTTTAAGGGCAAAATTCACCTCATTTGAGTTTTGACCGAGAAGTTCAACAGCAATAATGAAGTCCAGTCTTATTGGCAAAACTGATACACAGTGTCTCTAAGTCACTATGCTCAAGGTTAAGAGCGATGCATATTCCATTTTTACATTTGACTGGAATTTTACATGTTCAATTCATGATTTAAAATCTCTAGGTTTTCATTCCTTCAAACAGTCTGAAGACACAGTGTGCCACAGACTTAAGACTTCTGTTTCTCCCTCTATATTCTTCAAACAGAAGCATTTCTCAAGTGTCTACATGTTCTAGAAGGGGAATTTTTCAGAAGTGGCCACTTCTTCGGAATAGTCTGACGCCATCAGGCCTCTATCAGGCGTAAAATTCCAGGCACTCAGTTCATTTTGGGCTTGTTCCAGTTTATCTTTAGTCTATTCCAGTTCACCTTTCATTTTTAGGAAAACCAAGTTTGATCGCTGGGTCTACCATTGTTGATCTCAGCTGGGCAAGGCTCAGCTGCTGGACTTGCTTGAGGTACTGGATTTGAGTAGTACACTCTTGCATCTGTTGTTCCTTGGTTGTTAGTCGCATTACCAGGATGTTTTCCCCGCGTGCAGACCCTGCTGTTGTTGCTTTAGTTTTTCTTCAGACTCTGTTAGGCTAGTTACATCATTAGAGTTAAGCTCTGTGTACTTGCCCTCCAAAGCTTGTACATATGCTTCATATTGTTTCCATCTTAGAATTAACTCATCTCTTGCCATAACTTTGAAGTCTGTTTCACTCAGTCGAACTTTCTTGGGAAGAGGTTCTTCTTGAATCATTGGTCATCTTGAATCAGAAGAGTCGCCTTTCAGGCGTGGTCGCAGTCACTCGCCCGCCGCAGGGTCCCGCCAAGAGAGGAAAGGTGAAGGGAGGGAGGCCGCCGGCTTAGCCCGATCGGGGCCTGGAGGAGCACTGGAGCAGCTGCTCCCGAGTAACACGCCCCGTCCTTTCCCAGGAGCCTGGCGCGAGCTCCGCGGGCGCGGGAGCTCAGCAAGCACGGTAAGGGAAGCGCTGTGTGTTTGTTGGTTTGTTTGTTTGTTTTTTTGTTTTAAATAAAAGAGGAAACTCTTTAAAGTTGGACTCAGGCTTTTTGAGGCCTTCCCCTGTCACTTAGGCTGGACTACAGTGGTGTGATCATAGCTAGCTGCAGCTCACCCCTGGGCTCAAGGGATCCTCCTGCCTCAGCCTCTGGAGTAGCTGGAACCAGAGGTGTACACCACCACACCTAGCTAATTTTTAAAGTTTTTGTTTGTTTTTTGTTTTTTGTTTTTTATTGAGACAGCGTCTCGCTCTGTCGCCCAGGTTGGAGTGCAATGGTGCGATCTCAGCTCACCACAAACTCCGCCTCCTGGTTTCAAGCGATTCTCCTGCCTCAGCCTCCCAAGTAGCTGTGATTACGTGACGCCCGCCACCAGACTTGGCTAATTTTTGTATTTTTAGTAGATATGGGGGTTTCACAATGTTGGCCAGGCTGGTCGAAAACTCCTGACCTCGTGATCCCCCCCAACCCCGCACCTCGACCTCCCAAAGTGCTGGGATTACAGGCATGAGCCACCGTGCCGGGCCAATTTTTAAAGTTTTACAGAGACAGGGTCTTGCTATGTTTCCCAGACTGGTCTCAAACTCCTGGACTCAAGCAATCCTCCCCCTCAGCCTCCCTAAATGCTGGGAATACAGATGTGAGCCTCCACACCTGGCCCCCATAGACTTATATTATAAATCCTTTTTATTTTGTAATTACTTCAAACATGTGGGAAAGTTACAAGAATAATTTAGAGAAAATTTTGTGTATCTTTTATCCAAAGATTTTTTTGAAGTTTATCTGTTTGTCATAATTCTCTCTGTGTATACGTGTGTGTGTATGTATATTATATTTGGTTACATGTTTTATATTGTTTTATGTACATATATACACATAAGTTTGTGTGTGTATATAGTAAGATATAATAATTTGATGTAAACATGTATATATTCCTTTTGTGTTGATTTTTACTCTCTCCATGGTAGAGTAGATTGCAGACATCATGCCTCTGACTTTAGGGTTTCTTCTTTATAACAAAGATATTGGCCAGGCACAGTGGCTCACTCCTATAATCCCAACGTTTTGGGAGCTGAGACAGGAGGATCGCTTGAGGCTTGGAGTTCAAGAGCCTGGGCAACATAGGAGACCCCAGCTCTATAAAAAATAAAAATTAGCCAGGTGTGGTGGTGCACACCTGTCATCCTAGCTACTTGGGAGGCTGATATGGGAGGATCACTTGTGCCCAGGAGCTCACGTTATCTCCAGTGAGCAGTGAGCCAAGATTGAGCCACTGAACTCCAGCCTGGGTAACAGAGTGAGACCCCTGTCTCAAAAAAGAAGAGAAAAAAACAAGATATTTTCTTACCTAACCATAGTACAGTTATGAAGTTCAGAAAATTTGACATTGACACAATACTTTAATCTCATCTATAATCTACATTCTAATTTTGTTAATTGTCCCAAATATATCCTTTAAGACATTTTTCTCTCTAGGATCCAGTCCAGGAACACATGTGGCGTGTCCCTAATCTGGCAAATTTCCCCAACCATTGTTTGTCCTTCATGATACTGGCATTTTTGAAGGATACAGACCATTTATGTCACAGAAAAGTTTGCAGTTTCTTTTCTGTTTCCTCTGGAGGTATGTGACTTCTACTTGCCCCTCATTGATGAAGTTATTTTTTTAAGAAACAACCTTCTGAGTTATAAGTCACATACCATAAAATTGACTCATTTAAAACCTACAGCTCAATGCTTTTTACTAAGTTCACAGGGTTGTGCAGCTATCACCCCGATATAACTTTAGAATATTTTCATTCTCCCTAAAAAAAAAAAAACCATGCCTATCAGCTATTACTCCCTATCTCCCTTTTACCCCTCCAACCCACACACCTGGCTCTTAACAAGCATTCATCTAACTTTACCTCTCTAGATTTGCCTATTCTGGACATTTCACATAAATTGCATCATACAGAATACAATGTGTGTTTTTTGTGACTCAATTCTTTCACTTAGCATAATGGTTTCAAAGTTCATTTGTATTGTAGCATGTAGCAGGTATCAGTACTTTATTTCTTTTTTCTTTCCTTCTTTCTTTCTTTCTTTTGGAGACGGGATCTCACTCTGTTGCCCAGGCTGGAGTACAGTGGTGCAATCACAGCTCACTGCAGCCTCGACCTCTTGGGCTTACATAATCCTCCCACTTCAGCCTTCCAAGTAGCTGTACCACCACACCTGGCTAATTTTTTAATTTTTTGAAAAGATTGGTCCTCACCATGTTGCCCAGGCTGGACTTGAACTCCTGGGCTCAAGTGATCCTCCCACCCCAGCCTCCTAAAGTCCTGGGATTACTGGCATGAGCTACTGGACCCAGGCAGTATTTTTTTTTGTTTTTGCAGCTGAATAATATTCCACTGTATGGTTATACCACATTTTATTTAGCCATCAACACATGTTGATGGACATTATGTTGTTCCCAGTTTGGGGCAATCATGAATAATGCTGCTACAGACATTCATCTGAATACAAGTTTATATGTGGATGTATGTTTTCATTTCTCTTGGGTATATACCTAGGAGTGAAATTGTTGGGTTATGTGTAACTCTAGGTTTAAATTTTTGAGGAATTACCAAATTGTTTTTCAAAGAGTCTACGCTATTTTACACTCCCAGCAACAAGCCCTGAGGATTGCTATTTCTCCACATCCTTAAAACGTGTTCATATTTTTTATTATAGTCATCCTAGTGGGTGTAAAGCAGACTCTTGTTGTAGTATTGATTTCACTAATGATTAGTGAGGCCGAGCATCTTTTCATGTGCTCATTTACCATTAGGTATCTTCTTTAGAGAAAAGTCTAATCAAATCATTTGCCCATTTTAAATTGGGTTGTCTTTTTATTGCTGAGATTTTTTTTTCTTCTTCTTTTTTTGAGACAGAGTCTTGCTCTGTCACCCAGGCTGGAGTGCAATGGCACGATCTTGGCTCACTGCAACCTCCGCCTCCCGGGTTCAAGCAATTCTACCGCCTCAGCCTCCCGAGTAGCTGGGATTACAGGCGCCCACCACCATGCCCAGCTAATTTTTGTATTTTTAGTAGAGACGGGGTTTCACCATCTTGGCCAGGCTGGTCTCAAACTGCTGACTTCGTGATCTGCCCGCCCCAGCCTCCCAAAGTTCTGGGATTACAGGTGTGAGCCACCATGCCCGGCATCTTTTTGCTTTCTTGATGGAATCATTTGCAACACAAGTTTTTAATTCTCATGAAGTCCAAATTATTTTTTTCTTGTATTGCTTGTGTTTTCGAAGTCATAGGTAAGAAACCATTGCCCAACTGAAGGTCATGACGATTTATTCCTGTTTTCTTATAACAGTGTTTTTTTGTTTGTTTGTTTTTTGAGACAGAGTCTTGCTCTGTCGCCCAGGCTGGAGTGCAGTGGCGTGATCTCAACTCACTGCAACCTCCTTCTCCTGGGTTCAAGTGATTCTCCTGCCTCAGCTCCCCGAGTAGCTGGGACTACAGGTGCACGCCACCACGCCTAGCTTATTTTTTTGTAATTTTAGTAGAGACGGGGTTTCACCATATTGGTCAGGCTGGTCTCAAAGTTTTGACCTCAGGTGATCCACCAGCCTCGGCCTCCCAAAGTGCTGGGATTACAGGCATGAGCCACTATACCCAGCCTCTTATAACAGTTTTATAGTAAGCTCTCATTTAGGTCTTTGATCCATTTTGAGTTATGTCTTGTGTACAGTGTGAAATAGAGATCCAGCTTCATTCTTTTGCATGAGGATAACTAGTTTTTCTAGTACAATTTGTTGAATACACTATTATTTCCCTGTTAAATAGTTTTGAGACCGTTTTCCAAAATCAATTTACCATAAATGTAAAGGTTTATTTCTGTTTCATAGATCTACATGCCTGCCTGTGTGCCAATACCTCACCATCTTGATTATTGAAGCCTTATAACACATGTTGAATTTGTAAATTGTGTCTTATTTTTCTTTCTTTCTCTTTCTCTCTCCTTCCTTCTTCCCTCCATCCCTCCCCCTCCCTCCCTCCCTCCCCCTTCCCTCCCTCCCTCCCTCCCTCCCTTCCTTCCTTCCTTCCTTCTTTTGTAAAGACACAGCTGGCCTCAAACTCCTAGTCTCAAGCAGTCCCCCAGCCTCAGCCTCCCAAATAGCTGAGACTATAGCTGTGAACCGCGCCTGGCTCCTTTGTTCTTTTTACAAGTGGTCTTGGCTCTTCTGGGTCCCTTGAATTCCATGAGAATTTTAGGGTCAGTTTGTACATTTCTGCAAAAAAGCCAGCTGGAATTTTTCGATGTAGAGATTGCACTGAATCTGTAGACCAGTTTGGGGAGTATTGCCATCTTAACAATATTAAATTTTCCCATCCATGAATATGTGAGGTCTTCTCATTTATTGTGATCTTTTCTTTCTTTCTTTCTTTCTTTCTTTCAAGACAGTCTCACTCTGTCGCCCAGGCTGGAGTGCAGTGGCGTGATCTCAGCTCACTGCAACCTCTCTCTCCCAGGTTCAAGTGATTCTCCTGCCTCAGCCTCCCAAGTAGCTGGGATTACAGGTGCCCGCCACCACACCAGGCTAATTTTTTTGTACTTTTAGTAGAGATGGGGTTTCACCATGTTGGCCAGGCTGGTCTCAAACTCCTGACCTCAAGTGATCCGCCCACCTTGGCCTCCTGAAATGCTGGGATTACAGACACAAGCCACACGCCCAGCCTATTGAGATCTTATTAAATTTC